AACGCTGCTCGTTGCTTGCATAGACCGCCCGCCCTCTCGCGCTGCAGCGCTTCTGCTCCGCCCCTCAGCTGTCGCTAGGACCAGTTCTGGTCCGCTCTGTTAGCTGCACCCCCTTCCCCATCCTTCCCATTTCTTCGCAACTCGGCTCCTCAACCAGCCGAGCCGAGCTGCTAAAGATGCTGCGTGGTCCCACGACGAATGTTGTCCGTGACGGTATTAGTCGCTCGCATTGTTGGAAGCATTATTTAAATGCGTGGATCGGCTAATTCTCGGCATTGTTTCATTTGATGCGCAGTCCGAGGGTACGTTCGAATTGCTTTGTTGCCGGCCAGAAGCTGTTTGTTGTGCCATTTGTTGCCTTTAATCACCGCGACTTCTCGGTCCTTTGACATGGAATTTTTTGTTGTTTTTGGGCAGATTTACCCCGTTTTCGCGCAAATAATTCAAACTTTCCGTGGATTTCCTGGATTCGCCCTGCACCCCAGCTTGCCTCTTTGTCCCAGCGGTTCTCGCCAAAATCACACATATTCCTCCCCATATGTGCAACATTTTTTTTAACGGTCGCGGCGGAATTTGCTCGGATATCGCGGTACCTTACTCGGAAATTCGGGAAATCGGCCCTCAAAAACTTACCCTGAAGTTGAAGTCGCAAGCAGAGCTTTGCTGGATAATACATGTGGGTCAACGTTTTTTTAGCTTTCATAGGATATACCGGTGAGGCCTAACGTTAAGTTATCGTAATTTCCTCTGCACGCTGCTTTCTTTGGGAGATAGAATTTTCCCGAATATCGCGGGGTATATTACCCGGAAATTCGGGAAATCTTCCCCCAAAAACTTATCCTGAAGTTGGAAACGCAAGCAGAGCTCTGCTGGATAATATATGTGGGCCAGCGTTTTTTTAGCCTTCATGGGATATACCGGTGAGGCCTAACGGTCAATTTGGCGTGATTTCCTCTGCACGTTGCTTTCTTTGGGAGATAGAATTTGCCCGGAAATAGGTGTGCCGGTGGCATTTCGCCAACAGCGATCTCCAGATTTCTGTTTTTTTTTAAGTTTCCAGTCGAAACTGTCATACTGACGAGGTCCAGTTGTGGTACTTAAGCAAGATTGAAACGACTTTTATAGGACAGGCAACCAAGTCACTGTACATTACAGGCTTGCTTATTTGGGAGATCTTTAAATGGCACTGTTTCCAATGTGTTTTCATATTAATTATCAAAATTCGATTGTGTTCCTCTCAACGATAGTGGGCCGGCAAAGCCAAACAAACTGCATATGTTAACGCATAGACGTGATTTCGAGCCCCCGTCCTCTTCCTGTAGCTCCTAGCCAGGGATATTCTCGTTGTTTCTATTTCTAAAATTCCTTTAACACTTAGTAGGCCCGGATAAGTAACGTGCAGGATATCATTGCGGCCATGCGAGAAAGTAAAATCCGATGGGCAGGACATTTTGCTTCTTCCAGTCTTCTAGCCAGGGATATTCTCATTGTTTCTATTTCTAAAATTTCTATAACACTTACTGGGCCTGGATAAGCAGCGTGCAGGATATCATTGTGACCATGCGAGAAAGCAAAATCCGATGGACAGAACATTTTGCTTCTTCCAGTAGCTTCTAGCCAAGGATATTCACGATTTATATCTCTAAAATTTCCATAATGCTTAATAGGGCCGGATAAGCAACGTGCAGGATATCATTACGACCATGCGAGAAAAAGTAAAATCCGATGGGCAGAGCATGTTGCTCGTCTTGACGACAATCGATGGAAGTGGTTTTCTTTTAGGCCTCATAGTTTACCTTAATTTTTGGCTTTAGACTCGGGTTTTTGCAGCAGTGGTGCCTGTGCCGCTGGAGGCAAAAGACCCATTGTGTATCCACCTGTGATTAGGACCTACTGCTTCCTGGAACTGAATTTTGATAAATCTGTTGGATGTAGCAACGGGGAAATTACGGTCGATTGTTTCAAGGGTAGCAGCGGAGGCTCTGTTTCTGTGGCAG